CGCGTTTTATTCAGGAATAGAATTTACTCTCCCGGCGCTCTGGAGTCGCGCTCTCGCTGGAGACTTGCTTGCAATTTACTGAAGAATAGCGCCCTTGCGTTGGAATTTCTGGCAATTTACTTAAGCGCCGCGCTCCCGACACCCAGGCACCCAGGAGTCGCGCTCACGCTTAGGACTCCCTCACAGATTACATGGGAATCGGGATCTGGCTGCCCTTCGTGGTCCCGTTGCAGCCCTTCGTGGCCCCCTTGCTTTGTTTCGTGGCCCCGTTGCAGCCCTTCGTGGCCGCCTCGCTGCCTTTCGTTGTCCCGTTGCAGCCCCTCGTGGCCTCCTCGCTGCCCTTCGTGGCCCCGTTGCAGTCCTTCGTGGCCCCCTCGCTTTGTTTTGTGGCCCCGTTGCAGCCCTTCGTGGCCCCCTCGCTGCCCTTCGTGGCCTCATCGCAGCCCTTCGTGGCCCCGTTGCAGCCCTTCGTGGCCCCCTCGCTGCCCTTCGTGGCCCCGTTGCATCCCTTGGTGGCCTCCTCGCTGCCCTTCGTGGTCGCATATAGTTTTGTATGCCCTTCGTGGCCCCCGCTCGTTCGCGCCCGTGGTGGCCCCATATGCATCTGTCCTACGTGGCCCAGTTGCTACCCTCAGTGGGCCCATCGTTGCCTTCTGTGGCCCCGCATTATCTGCCCTTCGTGGCCCCCGCTCGTTCGCGCTCTTCGTGGCCCCATACGCATTCCCTTCGTGTCCCCGCTGTTGCCCTTCGTGGCCTGCTTCGTGTCCTTGTGGCCATGCTGTCGTTCTCTTTCGCTCTCGCTTTCGCTCGTCGTCGTCGTCGCCGTCGTCGTCGTCGCCGCCGTCGTCGTCGACGTCGTCGTCGTCGTCGTCGTCGTCGTCGTCGTCGTCGTGGTCGGTCCCCTGTCCGTCCCTCTTGGGGTCGGGTCGACGGTCCGCGGCCGCCGTGCCGATCAGCGCTGCCGCTGGCCAGGCCGACGGTCCGCAGCCGCCCCGCCGCTTGCCGGGGCCCGGCCTGCAGGGAAGAAAGGTACACCCCCCAAAAAGGGTTCGATCGAAGACGAAGAGGGCGGATATCGAGGGTTTGGGAAATAGGCGTTATTGGACACTCGAGCAGATAAGGGCGAACAGTCTTAAAATGATTGTTTTTGTTGTCGTTGTTGTTGATGGTGATGATGGTGATGGTGATGATGTTGATGTTTTTGTTGGGTTGTCATTCCTAGGGGCTCATTATTGTTGATTGTTGATCCGTGCCCTCCGGTAACATATTGTGAAGGCCTTGCGGCCGGTGTTGCCGACCCTGAAGGGGGAACTCGAGGCTTGTGGAAGGCAAGGAATCGAAGGGGAAATCTTCTCCCAGGGAGGTGTGCTCCCCCACCAGAGGGGGGTCGCAACCCGCGGCCCCCCCCCTGTTTCCCCTTGGGACCTTCCCCTGGGACCCCTCCCAGGAACCCCCCAGGACCCCCCTCCCCGGCGGGGAAGGGATCTCGATTACGATGTTGCTCGATTTCTCTTTGGCTTGGACGTTTCACAGGGAGGGCGAATGGACGGGAACAAGGGGAAGCGGTGACGGCGACAACGACGACGGCGATGAAGAGGACGATTCAAAAAGAAAAGCCTTTCACACGCTGACAGGGTCGGCGGATTTGTTTTTCAATTGAAGTGTCCCTCCCAGGGCTCGCGCCTTTTTGTACACGGGAACGCCTTGAGCTTCAGATTGGACCCCTGCCCCCCGAGCTACAACAACAATGGCTCCCACTTGTATTGAAGAATCGCGCTTCCGCTGGAGACTTCCATGCAGCGCTTTCGCTCACGAATCGCTCTCTCGGCGCTCTGGAATCGCGCTTTCGCTTGGGACTTCCACATACTTTACTCAGGAACCGCGCTCTCGCCTGAGACTCCCTTGCCATCGCCTCTGGCTAAGGCCTCTTGCTAATCATTCTCTTCCTCCATCTCTTCTTCCCACATGCCCCCCTCCGTCGTCCCTCCCCTCCCCCCCTCCCTTCCTCCTTGCTCTCTCCCTTTCCAATTCTTTATATTCTTCCTGTTTTCGGGGCTGCGCCATTACAGGTGGCAGGGAATGAAGACATGCGCCCCAAAGGGGTACGATCAAAGACGAAGAGGGCGGGTATCGAGGGTTCTGGATATACACTCTGGTTAACACGTGGGCATAGTGCTGCGATCAATCTTAAAATGTGCATTCTTATTGGTGATTGTGATTATGATAACATGGATGCCGCTGCTGAGGATGATGATGATGATGCTGCTGCTGCGATGATGATGATGGTGATTGTGATGGTGCTGATGGCGATGATGCTGATGATCATGATGATGCTGTTTATGATGATGACGACGATGATAATGATGATGAGGAAGAGAACGGGGAGGATAATGAGGATGAGTAGGAGTAGGAGGAGGAGCACGACGATGATGATGACGACCATGATTCTGATGATGATGCTGATGATGATGATGATGACGATGATGATGATGATGATGATGATGATGATGATGATGATGATGATGATGATGATGATGATGATGATGAGGATGATGCTGCTGCTGATGATGATGATGATGATGATGATGATGATGATGATGATGATGATGATGACGAAGATGATTATGAACATGATGCGCTGCTCATTGTGCTGGTGATGTTGCTGCGGTCGATGACGATGATGATCGTTCCGATTATGGGGCGAATTGTCAGGACAGCAATGGCCGGGACAGGAGGAACATGACCAAGATGAGGATGACGAGGCTGATGAGGATGTGGAATTTCATGATAGTAAGGAGGCGATTGAGGAGAAGGAAGGGGATATGCAATAGGAAGGAACAGTGAGGATGCGGGGGATTTGGAGGAGAAATGGGCGGAGCAATAACAGGACTATGATGACGAGGATGGGCAGGCAGGAGGAGGATGAGCAAGAGGAGGATGAGGGGGAGGAGTGAGACCCCTTTAAACCCAAGACCCATCAACGGTGTTGCAATAAACCCTCCCTTGAAGTTCCCTCTTCGTAATCCCTTGTGCGTTTTCATAAAAGAGAAGTGCCCCGTTGGACGACAACCGCTTGAACATCTTGAACAGCGCCAGAGCACCATTCCTGGAACTTCAACGCCGCGAATCACCATGACAGTTGCTTCTTGAAAACCCTGAACCGTGCCAGAACTCGATTTCTGGGAGAGCAACACCACGAATCACTGTCACTGTTGCGCCCTGACGGTCCGACATCGTGGCGAAACACACATTCTGGGACGTCAATCATGAGAATTCTTGGAACTGTTGTCAACTCTTCAAACGAAGGTGCGCGGCGCTAAGGCGAGAGCCAGATTTTGATAAGTCACTGCCCTGCGCCCGTGAAGCTCATGTGCGGCGCTAAGTCGAGAGCCACATATTGAAAACGACCCGCCCTCCATTCGTGAAACTCTTGCACATTTTGAGACGAGTGTGCGCGGCGCTAAGGCGAGAGCAATATTAAAAAAACGGCCCGCCCTCCATCCGCGAAGCTCTGCACATTTTTAAGACGGAGGTGCGCGGCGCGGAGGCGAGAGCCACATTTTGAAAACCACCCGCCATCCATCCTTGAAACTGTTGCAACTTGTAAGCTTCAGGGTCATAAATGGTTGGGAAGTCTCCGGCGAAACGTCCAGCCCGCCCTTTTGACCTGCCTCTGGGTGCGACAGGGAGGAGTTATTCATTAGGAGAAGGAGATTAGAGAGGAGGAGGGAGCTGGAATTCCCCAATCAGAGCTTGCCACTGTAGGGGTCCCAGCGGATTCATATGATTAGGTGAGGTACGGCGCCGATTTCGGCGGCACGCCCAGGTTCCCGGGTGCCAGGTGCCCGGGTGCCCGGTAGCCCTATAGCCCTGTAGCCTTATAGCCTTATGCCCTTACAGCCCTATAGTCCATAGCCCTACAGCCTTATAGCCCTATGGCCCTATTGCCCTATAGCCCTGTGGCACGTATAGCCCTATAGTCCTTAGCCCTATAGCCCTATAGCCCTATAGTCCCATAGCCCCATAACCCCATAGCCTTACAGCCCTAAAAAGATTATGATTCGGGTTTTCTCCGGTATCATGTATCAGAACAGAGGAGATGAGAGAGGAGAAGGGAGAAGGAGAAGGAGGGAGGAGTTGGATGAGGAATGAGCGGAGCAAGAGCAGGAAGACGATGATTGTGATGATCATGATGATGATGGTGATGGTAATGCTGATGGTGATGATACTGAGAATTATGTGGATGATGAGGATGATGGGTGATGTATGATGGATGATGTATGGATGATGAACGGTGATGGTGATGACGAGGAGGAGGAGGAGCAGGAGGATGGGGATGATGATGATGGTGATGGTGATGGTGATGCTGATGTTGATGATACGGACAATTATGTTGCTGATGATGATGGTGATGATGGATAGTGGATGATGGATGATGGATGCTGGATGATGATGGTGTCGAGGCCGAGGAGGACGAGCAGGAGGATGGGGATGATGATGTTGATGGTGATGACGATTATGATGATGATGCTGATAATGATGCTGATTCTGATGATGATGACGATGCTGCTGATGAGGATGATGGTGATGATAGTGGTGCTGATGATGACGAGGATGATGATGAGGATGATGGATGATGATGATGATTGATTGTGGTGATGCTGATGACGATGATGGTGGTGGTGGTAGTGATGCTGACGATGCTGATGATGCTGATGATGATGCTGCTGCTGATGATGCTGCTGCTGCTGATGATGATTATATTATTGATGATGATTAGGAGGAGGAGAAGGAAGAGGAGGAGGAGGAGAAGGAGGATGAGGGAGATGGGGAGCAGGAGGATGAGGAGGATGAGGATGAGGATGATGATTAGGAGGAGGAGGAGCAGGAGAAGGACGAGGAAGAGGAGTGAGGAGGAGTGAGGTGGACGGAGGAATGATTCTTCAGAAGAGCAGGGAGCAGGAGGTCCAGGAGGAGCTGCATGAGACCCGCGACGTGAGGCCCTCTGCGAGAGAGGCCCTCGACTACGGTTGGTTCAGCCCGGGGCTCGGGCCACCCTGCCGTCTACCCCTCGTCGTCCTCCCCTCGCCTCTTCCTCCAATCCCCCCCCTTTCCCCCCCCCTCCCCCCTCTTCTCCTTCCGCTCTACCCCCCCTCTCCCCCCTGTACCTCCTCCCCTCCCCTCCCTTCCCCTCCTCCCCCCCTACTCCCCCCCTCTCCTCTCCTCCTCCTCCTCCTCCTTCTCCTCCCCCTCCTCCTCCTCCTCCTCCTCCTCCTCCTCGTCCTCCTCCTCCTCCTCCTCCCTCCTTCCTCCTCCTCATTCTCCCACCCCTCCCGATCTCATCCTCCCTTGGCCCTCGTTCTCTCTACTTCGCGTGATCAACGGGACATAACCAGTTAAGTCTGCAAGCGAGCACAACCAACGCCGCTGCTACATACGTATACCCTGTGGGCAGGACTCAGAGCCCTGAGGGCAAACACTAACTCTACATCGGTCTGGGGCCTCCATGACAGACAAAGATGGCTCCAAGCTTCTCCAGGAGCGCACCAAGAGAGCTCCAAGGCTGCCCAAGCGGTCTCGAGACGGCTTCAGAACACTCCACAGCATCCCAAGATGGCTTCAAGATCGCCAAGAGGCCCGCAAAGGGAGCCGAATATTCCCAAGAGGGTCCAACAAAGGACATCAATATGCACAATGCATTTGTTTTCCTTGTTTTATTGTTGTTGTTGCTGCTGCTGTTGTTGTTTTTGTTGGATATGGACGGGCCACGCCCCCCGGGCGCCCCCCCGAACAACAACAACACCACCACCAACAACATCAGCAGCAACAACAACACAACAACAACATCGACAACGTCAACAACAACAACAGCAACACCAACACCACCAACAACATCATCAATCTCATCTGCAGCAGCAACACCAACAACGCCGACGGCTCCTGCTCGAGACTTCCTCGCAATTTGCCAATTCCCTGTAGGGTCTCAGGGGTCTCGCACCGATCGCATACGCTTCCTATTGGCTCCCAGAGGTCCCACATAATCCCATTGGATCCGTATAGTGTTCCTATGGGGTCCCACAGGGCTTTCTTAGGCTCCCTGAGCGAGACATGTATGGATCCGTATGCGGATCCTACCAGAGCTGTATGGATCCGTAGAGAGATTCCACCATAGCTGTATGGATCCGTAGAGGGATCTTACCATCATTGTATGGGTCCGTAGAGGGATCCTACCAGAGCTGTGTCCACCCGTATGGGGGTCTTACCAGAGTTGAGTGGATCCGTATAGGAATCCGATCTGAGCTGTATGGATCCGTAGAGGGATCCCACCAGGGCTGTATGGATCCGTAGAGGAGGATCCGACCTGGTCTGTGCGGACCTGGTGAGGGATCCTACCAGAGTTTGGATGGATCCGTGGAGGTTTCGTACCACAGCTGTAGGGATCCGTCGAGGAATCCCACCAGAGCCTGTTTGGATCCGCTGAGGTTTCCTGCTAGAGTTGTATTGAAATGTAGAGGGGTCCTACCAGAACTGTATGGGTCCAGCGAGGGGTCCTAGCAGAATTGTACAGTTCCGTATATGGACCCCACCAAGGAAACCATTTAGAGATCCATACACCCTGAAGCTTTTTCGTTGTTTTCCCTAGCAATCCCTGGGATTCCTGACGACTTCCGAGGGACCACCTGGAAGGATTCTTCAGGGTTCTTGTTGGGGATTTCTGAGAGTCCCTATACAGGCCGTGTGGGCTTTCTAGCGGATTCTATACTTGCCGTACCCGCTCGTCATCGGATCCTATATTTGTCGTGTATGTTCTGTATAAGATCCGAAGCAGGCCGTCTAGTATGTATGTATGTCTATATATATATAGGTATTTGTGTGTATATATTATGTTTATACACATGTGTATATACTAATGTAACTATGCGTAAAACCATACAGGCCATGTAGGCTCTGTGTAGGAAACCAAAAAACAGGCCGTGCAGGATCTGTGCAGGATTAGATACAGGCCGTGTCGGCTCCGTATATGATCCTCTACAGGCTGTGTAGGGTCTGTATACGACTTTGTTCAAACCTCGAAGGCTCTGTGTAGGATCCGAGACAAGCCGTGTCGGCTCAACATGGGAATTTATACACACCGCATCCGATCTGTATAGGATCCCATACAGGCCGTGTAGGCTGAGGGTCAATTTGGGATCCTACACAGGCTTTGTAGGCTCCGTACACGCCGTGTAGGTTCCGTACAAGATCCCGTACAGGCCGTGCAGGTTCTGTATAGGATCCTGTACAGGCCGTGTGGGCTTTGTATAGGGCCCCAAATACGCCGCGTAGGTTTTGTGGAGGATCCCATACAGGCCGTGTAGGCTCTGTATAGGATCCCGTACAGGCCGTGCAGGCTGTGTATAAGAGCCCGTAAAGGCCGTGCAAGCTCAGGATAGGATCCCGTGCAGGCCTTGTTGACTTTGTGTATGATCCTGTACCTACCGTGTCGCATCCGAATTTGAGCTTTTGCATTGTTTAGCTATTGTATCGGCTTTTGTACAGGCCGTGTAGGCTTTGTAGCGGATCTGGTACACGCCGTGCACGCTGTGTATAGGATTCCGTGCAGGCCGTGTAGGTTCTGTATCGGATACTGTGCATGCCGTGTAGCTTATGTATAAGGTCTTTGATCGGCCGTGTCGGCTGTGTAAAAGGATGCTGGGCACGCCGTGTCGGTGTTGCAGAGGATCCCATACATATTGTCCGAGCGTTGTGTAAGATCCTACAAAAACCGTGTGCTCCGTGTAGGGTCCCAAACATGCCGTGCAGGCTCTGTTTAGGATCTTATACAAGCCATATCGGATATGCATCGAATCCTGTACAAGCGGTATTGGATCGACATTAAGTCCCATGCAGGCCGTGTAGGCTCTGCATGGGGTCCTGCACAGCCCGTATCGGAGTTGCATAAGATCCTATACAGGCCGTGTGGGCTCCGTATAGGATCTCACACAAACCGTATTCGATATGTATGGGGTCCCATACGGGCCGTGTATGCTCAATCCAGGATTTTATAGAAACCGTATCGGATCAGTATGCGCCTCCATATAGGCCGTGCAGGGCTTTCAATAGGATCCTATGCAAGCAGCGTGGTCTCCGGAAAAGGATCCTGCATCGGCCGTGTCGGATATGGATAGGATTCCATGCAGGCCGCCGTGTGGGCCTTGTATAGGTTCCCATATCAGCCATGTCGGATTTGTTTAGGATTTGTGTAGGATCCTATACAGGCAGTGCTGGATTTGTATAGGATCCTGTGCAAACCGTGTGGGTTCCGCATAGGATCCCACAATCCGTATCGGATATGTAAAGAATCCCATGCAGGCCGTGAAGGCTCAATATCGGTCCGAAGCAAGCCGTATGGGATCTGTATAGGATTCTCTACACACCGTATCGGATTTGTAAAAGGCTCCCATACAGGCCGTGTAGGCCCAGTATAGGATCCCACACAGACCGTGTAGGCTTTGTATAGGGTCCTATACAAACCGTGTAGGGTTGTGTATCGGATTTCACACGGGCCGTTTGGGCTTTGTCTAAGGATCCCATACAAGCCGAGTGCGTCCCGTATAGGATTCCACACAGGCCGTGTAGCCTCCGTACAGGATCCTGGCTTCGCTGGCTTGCATGCGACATTCAGCAAAACGAAAATGCTTTGCGAGTAGTAATGCAGCGAGAAGGGTTCCTTTTATTTCCCCGGGCGTTGAATGTTAATCAACAAACAAGTGTTATTGTTGGACACCCCAAGGCGCCATGGCGCTCTCGCCTCGGCGCCGGCTGCGTTTACATTGAAAATGAGGTTCACGCTCGAGCGGTTTGGGGGGCGCCAAAACCGGCCCCCCAACAACAACAGCGCTCCCGCTCGAGATCTCCTTTTTTGAATCAGAGACGGTGCTCTTGCTCGCCGCCGAAAACCACCGCCCGAACAAAACCAACGCTCTCGCTCGAGACTTATTCCCGTCTTACCTTGGACTGGCGCGCTACTCTTACGCTCACCGTCGCCGCCCCCAGCAAAAACAACGCTCCCGCTCGAGACGTCCTTTTTGTTTACTCAGAGCCGGTGCTCTTGCTCGCCGCCGAAAACCGCCGCCCCAACAAAACCAACGCTCCCGCTCGAGACTTCTTCCCGTTTTACCTTGGACTGGCGTGCTCCTCTTTCGCTCACCGTCGCCGCCTCCAGCAAAAACAACGCTCCCGCTCGAGACGTCCTCTTTGTTTACTCAGAGCCGGTGCTCTTGCTCGCCGCCGAAAGCCGCCGCCCCAACAAATCTAGCGCTCCCGCCCGAGATTTCCTCCCGTTTTACGCTGGACTGGCGCCCTACTCGCTTTTGAATTGGCGCCGCTCCCAAAGCAACGCTCCCGGTCTCCTGAGGACGGTGCTCTTCCTCGCTTCCGACAGCCCCGTCCCGACAAAACCGTATCGAGACTTCTTCCCTCCTTACTCAACCCAGTGTTCCTCCTCGCCGCCGACAACCGCCGTCTCAACAGAACCAGCGCTCCTGCTCGAGACTTCGTTTTGTTTATCGCTGGACTAGCGCCTAACTTTCTTCTGCATTGGCGCCGCTCCCAGCAACAACAGCACCCCTGCTCGAGATGTCCTCCCTTTCTATTCAGGGCCAGGTCCTTGCCTCGCCGCCGACAGCCCCCATCCCCTCCAAACCAATCCTGTCGCTCGATATTTCCTTGTGCTTTCCCCTTGGCTGGGACTCCATTGGCGGTCTTGCATCGGCACAGCAGGGCGAGGGCATGTGTTTTCGAGGCGGGGTATGTTGAAATTCCTCGGAGGAGGTGTTTGCAAGACCTCATTGGGCGGGAGATCTGGGAACGGAGAGAAAGGGATCACGAGACATAGAGAGAGAGAGAGAGTGAATCACATACGTGTATGTGTGTATATATATAGATGCATACATACTTACGTCTGAAGGAACATGTATGTATTCTTGTATGTATTTTTATATGTGTGTATATATGTGTATATATATAGAGGGGGGTAGACAGCGATAATGATACATA